GCGGGACTGGGCAGGGTCCCCTCGTCCGCTCCAGCACCAGACGACCCAACCCCACTATACCCCCTCCCGCACCCCCGCCGCCGCCGCCGCCGCCGCGCCCAGCCTTGGGGCGGCGGCCCTTCCCCGAACGAAACTGCGCTGCAGCAGCAGTCTCAGCCACTGCGGCAGAGCCGTCAGAGAAGGTACACTGGGCGGGGGCACAACCCTGAAAGATAGGGACCGGCACGACACCGCTCGCCTGGGCGATGGAGCGGTGACGGGTCTCTATCACAGTCAGGGTGTCTACAAAGTCAGTGAGGGTGAGGTCTGCGGGGTGAATGCTAAGGAAGCGGTCGCGGGCGACAGCAAGGCGGCCAGGGAGGCGGGTGGCAAGCAGGTAGAGGGTAGAGGTAATGGGCGGCTGGTGGGCTCTAAGCTGTGCATCAGTGCAGGCTGCATGCCAGGTCTCATCTATCGAGCGCAGGTGGGCAGCGAGGTCAGAGACAGTGGGGAAAGATGCAAGGTCAGGAAAGAGCATCGGGAGGATCAGGCGACTCACCGAGGCAGCCGGAGGGGTGGAATAGCGCTGGATGACAGCATCTAAGTATGCCTGAGCAGTGGTGAGAGACCTAAAGCGAGGGCGCTCGGACGGGGGAAGGGCGTTGCTGATGGCAAGCTGGGCGACAGCATCGCGAGAAAGCCAGACAGAGCGCGCACGGGCAGTGGCAGCAGTGGACTCGCGCTCAATGGGTGTGGAGTCAGCGGGCAGAATAGCAGGGGGGCTGGGGCAGGGGAGCGTACCGTCAAGGTGTGCGGAGAGCAGTTCACCATCCTGCCGCTGGCCAGTGAGTTGGCGACGGGGGTCGGCAAGCCACGCCTCGAACTCCAGAGGCTGGCCTTCAGTGTCGAAGCGAAGCTCCGCCGCCATCAGGAACAGAGCAGTGCGGTGCAGGGCAGTGCAGCAAGGTGGAGTGCGGTGCCGTGCGGTACAGTGCGATGCAGTGCGGTGCAGTGCGGTGTAGTACGGTGCAGTGCGGTGCCAGGCAGTACAGGGTGGTGTGGGGCGGTGCAGTGCGGGGCAGTACGGCGCAGGGCAGTGCAGGGCGGGGGGGGGGGGGGGGGAAACCGTACCAGTGAGGAGGACCGAGGCCGGGGCAGGGACGAGCGCAGGGGCCCGGCCGGTGCAACGGGGCCGGGCGGGCGAGACGGAGCCGGGCGGGCGCGACGGGGCCGGGCTGGTCCGACGGGGCCGGGCGGGTGCGTCGGGGCCGGGCCGGTGCGACGGTGCCGGGCCGGTGCGACGGGGCCGGGCGAGCAGGACGGTGGCCCAGGAGGGGCGCACCGGGGCTGGGCGGGCGCGACGGGGCCGGACGGGTGCGACGGGGCCGGGCGGCTGCGACGGGGCCGGGCAGAGGGCGACGGGGCCGAGCTGGTGCGACGGGGCCGGGCTGGTGCGACGGGGCCGGGCTGGGGCGACGGGGCCGGGCGAGCGCGACGGGGCCTGAAAGCGTGACGGGGACCAGGAGGGGGGGGCTCGACGCGGCCCAGGAGGGGCGCTGCGGGGCCCAGGAGGGGCACGACGGGGGCCCAGGAGGGGCGCTACAGGGGCCCAGGAGGGGCGCGACGGGGCCCAGGAGGGGCGCTACGAAGTCCAGGAGGGGCGCGACGGGGCCAAGGAGGGGCGCTACGAAGCCCAGGAGGGGCGCGACAAGGCCCATGAGAGGCGCTACGGGGCCTAGGAGGGGCGCAACGGGGCCTGGGAGGGGCGCGACGGGGCCCAAGAGGGGCGCTACAGGGCCCAGGGAGGGCGCGACGAGGCCCAGGAGGGGCGCTACGGGGCCCAGGAGGGGCGCGACGGGGCCCAGGAGGGGCGCTACGGAGCCCAGGAGGGGCGCGACGGGGCCTGGGAGGGACGCTACAGGGCCCAGGAAGGGCGCGACGGGGCCCAGGAGGGGCGCTATGGGGCCCAGGAGGGGCGCGACGGGGCCCAGGAGGGGCGCTACACGGCCCAGGAGGGGCGCGACGGGGCCTGGGAGGGGCGCGACGGGGCCCAGTGAGGGGTGCGACGGGGCCCAGGAGGGGCGCTACAGGGCCCAGGATGGGGCGCGACGGGGCTAGGGGGGTCGCGACTGGGCTAGGGGCTAGAGGGGTGAGCGGAAGCGGTAGGTGGGGGGGGGATCCTACCTACGCGTGATACCATATCAGAATTGAGAAGTGAATATTGGATAGAATGAGAGTACACACAGATATACCTAAGTGTTGTACTCTCTAAGAGGCGACCCTATACAGTCTATAAAAACATGACAAATACACATGTTTGACATGGGAACCATCTCCCTCTCGAATTCTTCTTGCTAAGTTTGTACTTCCAAGACTATAGTGGCTACTATACCTCCTGCCAGTCAAACTGCCATAGCGTCGTCAAATCTTCATGGAATTTCATGATTCAACTTGGTCCTGATAGGCGACAGCAACCTGCTCCAGATCCAACTTACAGATCACCGTTTCAGTTAGCGAGCAGATCGTTATCAATATTTGAAGCCGTCTGACGGAAATCCGACTGTACTCTCTATCTCTCATTATAGGCACACCTGAGCCTATTGTGACTATAACAAGTGGTATCATAGCCCCTTGGAGCCGTCTCGACCATGCCTAGACCTGAGGAAGGGGGTGGCAGAGGTGCTGGAGGCAGAGAAGACGCCCAAGCACAAGGTCAACACCAAGATCCACCCGTTGCTCCGGTGCAACCTAGCCTTGGACCCTCTAGGGATGAGCCTAGAGTGTTTGGCCTTGACAAGTTCAACGGTGACAACTTTGCTGAGTGGTCCTTCAAGATGGAGAACATCTTCGACCACTATGATCTGCTGGAGGTGATGGAAGGAACGGAGAAGCGCCCCGAGAACGACCCGGAGAAGAGCCAGTGGTTGCGGAAGAGCGCACAAGGCTACCTTCTACTTGGGCAAGCGTTGGGGAGCAGCCAAATCCGTCACATCAAGCCTTTTCAGCGTGAACCAGCAAAGGGACCAAAGGCATGGGCTGCTCTCAAGGGTGTACACGCTCCTGCAACAGCGGCGGTGGCTGTGGTTTTGGAGCGGCAAATGGCGGCACTTCGAATTGACGAAGGCGAACCCGTGGAGGAAGGAGAGCAGAAATTCTTCGACTTGTTGACACGGCTCGAAGGAGCTGACCTGAACTACAGTGACCTTCAAAAGAAGACCAAGCTGCTGGCCTTACTTTCGGACTCATGGTCCTCGCTCATCATCAACCTTAATCGAGATCTGCCCCGTCTCTCACTCGAAGATGTGAAGCGGGAAATCTTACAAGAAGATTTCGCCGTCGCGAATTGGCGGGTCCCGATGGTGCCGGAGTTGCAAGCATGGGCCGTGGGCACGGCCATGGAATAGGCAGAGGGCGAGGAGGACGATTTGGCAGCAGTAACTTCAATGGAGGCCGTGGTAATGGAGGATATGGCAGCAACAACAACAACAATGGCTACGGGCGTGGGCGCGGTCGATTTGATGGCGAATGCCACTTTTGCCACAAGACCGGCCACATGTGGAGAGATTGCTTCAAACTACCTGATGGCTGGACCACTTCTCAAGGCCAAGATGGCAGAGGAGCAAGGGGAGGAAGAGGCAGAGGTCGTGGAGGCCGTGGTGGCCATGGAGGCGAAGCGGCAAGCATGAAAGGTGGAGACTTCGACAAGGACTCGATTGAAGATCGATACCCGGGCCAATTCTTCTTTGTCTCCACGCAAGCGGCAGCTGCAGCAGGAGGTGTGGAAGGCTTTGAGGAGCCAGCTACTGTGGGAAAGGTCACCCTTCACTCTCTGGACTTTTGGGTGATCGATAGCGGTGCCACCTATAGCATGACACCTCGTGCGGACTTGCTCACCGAACTCGAACCGTCGCCGGTGAAGCATGTTACATCGGCTTTGGGGCAGCGAGCAGAGGTGAAAGGCATGGGCAAGGCCATGTTCAAGGGTACTGATGGGGAGATGGTGGGCCTCAAGAACGTGCTTTGGGTGCCCAACCTAGCAGCCAACCTGATCTCTGTTCGGCGTTTGCAAAAGGCCGGCATCGACCCTTAGCAATGTATTCGTCTCGATGTGTGCTGAGGGCTGTGAGGGCAATTGCGGGCCCTTGGCCAAATTTGTTTGATGTGTGCCTGCCCTGGGGCTCTGCGAGGGAAGAGATTCCCTCCGCCCCTGCAATATCGTCGCCTCCCCCCCTACTAAGCCCCTCCTCCCTCTCCCCCCCACCAATTGTCGTTTCCTGCCCATCCCCCAATCTCACCCCACACGCGCGAATTCGCTACGAATTCCCAGCACCCCCAACAACCAAGACTTGAACACATAATTCATGAACTAAAACATGTATAGAAAGAGAGAAATCATGAATTTTTTTTTGAAGTAATTCGGATGGCTCAGGATTTTTTTTTTAAGGGGACCCTGAAAATTCAGACTTTTTATGCAGGGAGAATCCTGATGGATCAGGAAGCCTCAAAACCAATCTAGGGCCCTACTCGGAAGTCTAGGCTCGGCCCGACAACCCAGGTCTCGAACTGCGTTTGAGGCACCTTGGTTTTGAGGCTTCCTGATCCATCGGAAGCCTACACGTGGAGTCGCATCCGACACTTCTGAGCCCCAAGGTGCCCAAACCACCTCGCGTGTGTTTCGTGGCCCTCCTCCAGGTTCCCTTGATAGGCTAGCTGTGCTTGTATTTAGCTCTTCGCCTCATTTGTATTCGACACACTTGAATAAACCTCTCTATTCCATTACTGGACTCCCATCCGGAGATAATCATAACACATGCGCTGCAACTACAGTAAATTAATTACTTAAGAAGTACTCAATTATAACGAGCATCCTTCAAAAGAGTGAATGTAGAGAAATATAGCATCTACTATGTGAATAATCGATGGTCTATGAGAACCGTTCCCACAGTGTGCTCTTATCGCATACTGCTGCAACCTTCTTGAGTGCGTGCAATGGCATTGTGCACATACGAGGCTTTCCGGTGTACAGCAAGATGCCCATTTCCGCCAAGTTTGTGTCAGCGCCTTTCGCCCTGAGGCCTGAAGAACGACGTGGACTGGAAAGAGTGGTGAGTCTTTCTTCTTCCGCAATTCTCGCCTGCGAACGGACGACTTCTGGCTGCGCGATCCGACCTACGCCCTTCCTTGCGGCGCCATGCATTCCCGCTAAGTCAGCTCTGCGAAGGGCCTCTGCAATCCCATACCTCTGGCGTGAGAAATCGCGGAGCTCACTTCCTGGCTTGTTTGGGGTGGGTGTTTTTTTCTCCTTCCAGATCTCACAAATCACTTCTTGGCATGTTTGCGCGCAGAGCAGCCACCACAGCAGCCGGCAGAGTCCCGCGCTTCTCGCCGGGACGTCCGCGGGCGTTGCGCTTTGTGGCGGAAACATCAGGCGCGCGGGGGACACGTGGCAGCAGTCTGCTGCGCTCCGCGCAGATGCGCGAATGCCTGCCGCGTGGCCGGAGCTGATTCGTCGTCTGGTAACCGCAGTGGCGGTTCCGTTACAGCTGATGGTTACCGCACTGGCGCCGTCGCTGCACACGCTGTGCAAGCAGGAGACGGGCCGTGCACGGAGGTCGGATGTGACATTATCGAACGGATTGCAGAGCTGATTCGGCGCACGCATTCCCCTGAGCGTGCCACGGGGCCAGCAGGTGAAGGAGGCCGAACCGAGGCAGTGGGGGGGAACGATGTGGCGAGTGGGGGCACAGCGGTACAAGGGGAGGGGGGAGCAGAGGGGGCGAGAGCAGCGGGGGGAGCAAGCGCCCCAGCACATGCGATGAGAGGGGAGGAGCCATTGCGGGTGTTGCAGCCGCTGCTGGCTCTGGACGCAGGGCGGTGGGTGAAGCTCATCTGCGGGGCCAGCTTCGAGGTGAGCGCCGCGGGTGAGGAGAACCGCGTGGGAGGAATGCCATGCGTCGCATGGGTGTGGTGAGAGGGTGTGGTGAGAGGGTGTGGTGAGAGGGTGTGGTGAGAGGGTGTGATGGGGGGGTGGGTGTGGTGAGCGGCCAGGCTCTAGGACGCCACGGTCTCGGCATGCCTCCCTTGCATGGACGTTCTCGTGCGTTCACGCCAGCATGCGTGCATGCATGCCGTCAATTCCTTACGCGTGCTCCTCTGCTGTTTCTTCCCTTGGTTCCTGTGCTGCAGTCTCTCCTCCCCATGCTGCCCTGTCTTTCCTTCGCCCCGTGTCATCCCCCATGCCCCCACCAGGACGTGGCGGATGTGCGCAACCTTGCCTTCGTCTACACGCTCGCAGGAGGTACGGTGGAATGCATGCAGGAGGTATGGTTCAAGGCAGGAGGTACGGTGGCAGGAGATATGGTGACAGGAGGTACGGTGACAGGAGAGACGGTGACAGGAGGTATGGTGACAGGAGGTACGGTGACAGGAGGTACGGTGACAGGAGGTACGGTAACAGGAGGTACAGTGACAGGAGGTACGGTGACAGGAGGTACGGTGGCAGGAGGTACGGTGACAGGAGATACGGTGACAGGAGGTATGGTGACAGGAGGTACGGTGACAGGAGGTAAGGTGACAGGAGGTAAGGTGACAGGAGGTAAGGTGACAGGAGGTAAGGTGACAGGAGGTAAGGTGACAGGAGGTAAGGTGACAGGAGTTTGTGCATGTGAGATAGGTGTAGAGGTGGCAGGCGAACGGCGTTGAGAGGTGGATACACGGTGAAGTGGTGCGGTGGTGAGAACTGTGTGTGGCACAAGTGTAGTCTGCAGTTGAGAGACAGCGTAAGGTGCAAGTGTCTCAGAGTCTTATATGTTGTATCATAGGGTGGAACGCTAGTGTGCATGATGCACGAGACATGAGATGGAGGAATGCTGGAAGTGCGAAAGTAAAGGCGCGTGTGAACAATGGCAGTGACACCAGTGGCGGCATCAGTAGCGGAGGGAGGGTAAGAACATTTCCGGGGCCTCAAAGTCGTGCCATCACGGTATCACCTGCTGCTGCGCGTCCTCCTTTTCTCCACCCACTGGACTGCATCGACTGTGCATGCAGGGAACCAGCCAATTGTGGTCTTTTATTTTCTTTCTCTTTTTTTTTTCCCATCAATCTTTTTGCATCCGTTCTGCCCTTCCCCTTCATGTCCCCCCCCCAGTGGACTGCATAGACTGTGCGGCAGAGCCAGCAGTGGTGGCAGCAGCAGCGGAGGGGATAGATGCAGCCATGGCGTGGGCGGCAGGGGAGGGGAGGGGCGGCGGTGAATGGGGGGAGATGGGAAGGCGGCCGTGGGTGATGGTCAGTGTGAGCGATGGGCGGGACCCACACTTCAGGAAAGCAGGTCAGTGCCGCGCGCATCTGACATGACGTGAAGCCGAGTCAATCATGAGGGCTTTTGCTGCTGGAGTGACCATTGTGCACAGGAGCTGTGACACGCGCATGTCACTGGGCGTTGTTGTAACAATCTCACGTGGTAACATGACCTCCTGTCTTTCCCTCTCCATCCTCTTTGCCCATGGTTACACTCCCTTCCATCGCCGCTTGCCCATGGCTTTCCCTCTCCATCCTCCTTGCCCATGGCTTGACATCTCTCTCCACCCTTTTCCATTCCTCTTTTCACCCCCCTATCTGCTCCCTCTCCACTCCTCTCTCCGCCCCTCCCCCCCCCACCTGTCCCCATCACCCCAGTCTTTGACGCGTCTCTCTGTCCGCCTGCCTGCCCTCGCCCCTGTGAGCGAGTCTGCCCCGCCGCTGCCATCCGCTTCCATGCTGCTGCTGCCACCAGCGATGCTGCAACAAGCACGGGTAGCAGTGCAGACAGTGTGGGCGGCGTGATTGCGGATCGCTGCTATGGGTGTGGGCGGTGCATCCCTGTGTGCCCCTTTGGCATCATCTGTACGTGGGACCCGCGCTGCATCATTTGTCTCCTCTGTGTGCGGTGCACAATGTCGGGCCACTTCGCACTTTGGGGCACGACAATAGCACATGCTACCACGGTGGCGTTTGAGCCGACTCAAAAGTCAGCACAAGCTACTGCAGTGGCGGCCATGCTTTCTTGATATCTGCCTTGCCATCCAACCATCCTTGCATGTCCCCATCCAACCATCCTTGCATGTCCCCATCCAACCATCCTTGCATGTCCCCATCCAACCATCCTTGCATGTCCCCATCCAACCATCCTTGCATGTCCCCATCCAACCATCCTTGCATGTCCCCATCCAACCATCCTTGCATGTCCCCAACCAACCATCCTTGCATGTCCCCATCCAACCATCCTTGCATGTCCCCATCCAACCATCCCTGCATGTCCCCATCCAACCATCCTTGCATGTCCCCAACCAACCATCCTTGCATGTCCCCATCCAACCATCCTTGCATGTCCCCATCCAACCATCCCGGCATGTCCCCATCCAACCATCCTTGCATGTCCCCAACCAACCATCCTTGCATGTCCCCATCCAATCATCCCTGCATGTCCCCAACCAACCCCCCCTCTTATCTCAGGCTCCATCTTTGTCTCTGGCTGTCGTTGTCCATCTCTGTGCCACCAGCGGCAGAGGAGCACCAGCGAACACACGAAGACACGCTGACGCTCTTGGGCGGCGGGCTTGTGGATGCTATAGAGATTCACACTCTGCCAGGGTGAGTTGGCCCTAGTACTCCTTCGGGCCACTCCTTCCCTCTCTTTCTACACTGTACGGTTTCCTGATAGCCCTTTCCTGATAGCCCTTTTCTCAATGGTCCTTCAGTGAAGCACATCGCATCCGTTTCACAGCGCTGTGCGATTTATCCCTGCTGGAATCGCTCGTATTCGATCTCCTTCGATGGTTTTCCATCGTCTTGCAAGCCAGCTTCGCACCTCTCACAACCTTCTTGCGTTCCCTCCAATCTCACGCAGGCACGTGGAAGCGTTCAATGCCTTGTGGGCCTCGATTGGTGAAGCAGCCGGCTCGCTGAAGCTAGTAGCTGTGAGTGACCGCTACCACATCAATGTGCTTCCCCGCATATGTGCGCCAGCGTTTATCAGGCATCTCTCCTTCGTTTATCAGGCATCGTGCGTTTTCCTCGTGTCCTTCCCCATCCCCCTTGCCGCTTCCCCCCTGCCTCTGCTGCTCTCTCCCGTGTACCTACCTCTATCACTCCCTGCCTCCCTCCCTCCGTTTCTGCCTACTTGTCCCCTCTCCCATGCTCGAAGGTTAGTCTGCCTGACGTAGGGGACACCATGCATCCTGCCGTGCATGCCATGTGCAGCACCTTGCGCCCACACCTCACAGCCGCACCTCCCATCTGTCCCTTGCTCCCCTCTCTCCTCTCCACCCGTTGTGTGCAGGTGAGTCTGCCTGACCTGGGTGGCGCCATGCACCATGCCATGCATGCCATGTACCGCACCATGCACCCACACCTCTCGGCCGCTAACCTATGGCAGGTGCTGTGGCTCTTGCGACTTTACCGTGATCAGTTGGCTCCCATCCTGCATCTTTTCTTGCCCTCGTGTCTTGCTAACCTATGGCAGGTGCGGTGGCTCTTGCCATCATTTCTCGCCATCTCTCCCCCTTCAGTGCACATCGCCATCGCTTTCTGTGCCCTTCTCAACCTTCTTAACCTTCTCACCCGCCCTGCCTTTCCTTCCTCTGCCGTCCTCTACCCAGACTTTCCCGATGTCTTGCCTGTTCTACTTTTCACCCTGTGCCCCTCCCTCTCATTCCTCCTCTCTCTTGCCCCTTTCCCCTCATCCCTCCACTCTGTTGCCCCTCCCCGTGCAAAGGCTGCCCCTCGAGTGGTGCTATAGCCTCCTGGACCCTCCCCTCACTCATGCCATCCCCCTCACATCCTCTTCCCTTTTCCTTTCTCCTCTCCCTTTTTTCTCCCCCCCTTCCACTCTCTCCCCTCTCTCTTTCTCTCCCCCTTCTCTTTCTCTCGCCCTTCTCTTTCTCTCGCTCCCTTCTGATCCGCCCTCCCCTTTTCGTTTCCCTGCTTCTCTCCACCCGCCCCCCCAGTTGGACGGCCGGCCCATGAGTGGGGACATAGGCGCCGGGGCAACACGTGCCACAATCCGACTGGCTGCCAGAGTGGCTGCTTTTGAGGATAGGCCGCCAGGTGATGGGGCATGTGACGGTGAAGGGGGAATATTCATTGCAGGTGGCATGTAGTGGCATGGGATTGTTGCTGTTAGGGAACCAGCCAAGTCTTCTCAATCATTCTCCATGTCGCTCCTCTCGTGCCTCTGTCTGCTCCCACACTTGACACTCTCTTCATTTCTTCCCTACCCCCACCAACATCCATCCTCTCTCATCCTCTATATAAGCAGGTTACCTACAGATCGCAGGCGGAACCAACAGTCACACTTTCACCTCGTTACAAGATCATGGAATGCTGCCTTCTGCTTCTTCTGGTGAGTTCAGCACCCCACTCTGCTGCAGTGCTGCCCGTATTATTGTCGCCCCTGTTGATCCTCCACTGCAGTCAGCATGGCCTCACCCTATTCAGCTCTATTGGTGCCATTCCTGCTTGCTCATGCGTCACCACCCATGCTCCTCATGCGTCTCATAGCGCCGATGATGTTCTCTCCTGCACCTATCTCTCACCATTCATGCTTTCACAACACTGAAATGTAATGAATCAGAATGTCGTTGGGAGTGCTTTCTAACCCAGCTGTTCTTTGAAGCGCTCTCAGGCAACATCATTGATCCACGCTAACCGAGCACTTTTCTATCTCACAGATCACAGGCTTGCAGTTGCAGGTGTGGCCTTTGGCGGTCATGCACGCAAGGTAAGCATGACTCAAGGCCGTATGTATCAAACATGCAACCATGTTTTTTTTCCCCTGTGCCTTCCCCCTCCCCCTTCTTTGGGTGTCTCTGCTTTTCCCTTTAGCACTCTTATTGTGGACCAAGCTGGTTTCTGCCCCCTTTTGCTTAATTCCTACACCAAGACACAGCTAACAATGCATGCAATTTATGCCTGCAGCCACGATGATTGCGTTACACGCCCTTTGTCAGATCCTGGCTCCAGTCCTTGGCCGTCTTGATGCGGCACATTCCATTGGCACAAACGAGGCTGCTACGCCAACACCACGCATGGCCACGTCACAGTCTCCGTCGCACGTTGAGAGCCAGCTGCCTCTTCTGCTCGAGGCATTGGAGCTTGCATGTGCCTTGGTTCATCCGTACAAATCACGTCTTCCAACGTAGTATACTTTTACTCATGAAAGAGACAATTTGAGCCTTTCCTCCAATTTCGCTTCAATATTTAGTTGGAGTTGCAAACTTGCAACCCTTCCAGTATTTCTGCTTGGTCCTCGGGATGATGTTTCCGTTGAAGTCATTTTGTCAGCTCCCGGATAGACGACCCATGGGTCTTATCATACGAACCCTAAGCATATGTAGAAATTGAAATAAATCGTCTGATGTTGTAGTAGACTAAGTATAAAACTAACTACACATAATCGACTTACAGAAATGCTAAGTAAAAATTATATCACAACACTCCCCTTCATTTCTGGAAGTTCGATAGTGTCACTTCTTGAAGATTCCGCAGAGCTTGTTACAGTACTGAAACTTCTTTCGTGTCAGCTTCTTCGTAAGAAAATCGGCAGCCATTTCGTTGGTCGAACAGTAGACCAATCGCATCCTCCCCTTCTCGACTTCATCTTTGACGAAAAAATAACGAAACGAAATATGTTTCGTTTTGTTGACGAAACCAGGCTGATGTGCGATGCGAATTGCACTTTGATTGTCGCAATGTAGGGTAAACTGGGTAGTTGTCGTCAACTTCGCTTCTTCCAATAGTTCCTGTAAGTAAAGTCCTTCGCGTGTTGCTGTGCAAACAGCAATAAACTCAGCTTCAGCAAAGGAGAGTGCAATCAGCTCCTGCTTCGTAGAATTCCAAGAGATAGGTCCGATAGGCTCCAGTCGATAGATGAACCCAGTGCGTGACCGTCGATTAGTAGAATCAGCAGCGTGATCGGCGTCGACAAAACCGTGTAGATAGAATGTTTTACAACCGATGACGTTGTAGACTAATCCGACGTCAGGTGTCGAGATAAAATACTGAAGCGCGCGGAGAAGATCAAGCTGATGCTCCTCCTCAGGACGGCGTAGGAATAGTGCGAGCTGACTGGCCGCATAGGCTAGATCAGGACGACAAGTGACAGCGGCGAAAAGTAGACAGCCTAGCTGTTGTTGATAGATCTGTAAACCGGTTGAAGTTAACGGTGCGGTGTTCGGTTTGTAGTCAGTCGGTAGTGAGCGGTACGGTATAGAGACTGCAGTAGGTGTGAGGTTGAAGCGGGCAGCGAGTGTTGCTGCATACTTCGAAGCGGTGAGATGAATAGTTGTCGGTGAACAGGTAATGTTCAGTCCAAGAAACTGTGTGACTGTTTCGGAGACGGTAAGCTGTAGATTTTCCTGTAATTTCAGTATGAAGGTCTCGGCAAGGGAATTGGTAGTACTGACGTATAGGATGTCATCGACGTAGGCGACGAGTAAAATATAGTTGCTGCCGTCGGTCAGTAGATACATCCCCTGATCATGCGGTAACTGTCGAAATCCAGCAATGATCAGCTGCGAATGAAGATACTGCTGCCAGAGCCGTGGTGCCAGTTTAATGCCGTATAGAGATTTTCGGAGACGGCAAACGCTCGGTGGGTTAGTAGTATAAGAATGCGGGTACTCTACCAGGATGAGTGCGTCGACAGGCGCGTAGAGAAACGCATTCGAGACGTCGATTTGGCGAAGACGTAGATTACGGCAGGCGGCGACACAAAGAAGAATCCGAACGCTCGTATGTCGCCCGACAGGGGTGAAGGTTAGTTCATAGTCGATGCCGTAAGTCTGCTCGAATTCGCGGACGACCCATCGCGCTTTGAACTTTTCAAACGACCCGTCTGAATTTGTCTTGACGCGGAAAACCCATTTTCCGGTAAGTACCTTTTTCCCCGTTACTTCTGAAGTCGGCATTAAATCCCATGTTCCGCGATTCTTGAGAGCTGCTAGCTCTCTGTCCATGGCTTCGCGCCATTTCTCTCGGTGAGGACTCGTAAGAGCTTGTCGAACGGTTTTCGGTTCAGGTATCTTAATGTCGTTGCACTGTACGGCTACTGCAAATCCCAGTATCTGCAATCCTGTTTCTGTAAAACGCGGACGTTCTTCGTTTGCACCTGCGAAATTTTCTTCTGCTCCTACTTCCCCCCCAATTTCGTCAGGTGTAACACGAACTGCTTCGTCAGAGACGGCGGGCATCGGCTGTTGTTGGCGATCGCGTTCGTAACTGAGACGAACTTCGCGAACATCATCCGTGTCAGCATCTGCAAGCGGAATACACTCTGGTATGCCAGTCGAGGTTACAGGTTCGGGAATGTCAGTTGCGGCAGCTTCGGATGCTTCAGAAACTGCTTCGTCCTGTACATCAGCTTCAGCTTCGTCAGTTGCAAACGCACGCGAGCCTTCGAACAGCCTGGCAGGATTGGCGGCTGCTGCCTGGTGGGCACGAAAAACGGGCAAGGTGAGTCTTTCATAGAAAAGACAATCACGTGATGGAACGATTTGATGGGAGCGAAGGTCCAAAATCTTCCACGTGTGATACTGTTTTTCGATGCCGAGTTGTACCCCCCATTTTGCTCGTTCAGAAATTTTTCCGAGTGCTGCGATTGGAGGACGAAACTGTACAACACACCCGAAAACTCGTAAAAGTTTTGTGTTTCCCAATGTACGTGTCCACTGCAGATGCGGAGAAGAAAACTCGGGCAGGGACGTTGAAGAAAGAAGATTGTGTAACAGCACGGCGTGGTCCATCGCATATGGCCAAAAATGCGGTGGAAGTGCTGCCTGCGTCAGCAGAGCACGCATCTTCTCCTGCAGTATTCTGTTCATCCTTTCTGCTACCCCCATCTGTTGATGTGCATGCGGCAGGGACTACTTCCGTTTTATGCCGAGTGTCTGAAGGTAGTCTGTGAAAGTGTTGCTGGTGTACTCCCCTGCACCATCACTCTGAAATTCTTGCAGTTTCGCGCCAGACTAACGTTCAGCGACAGCGAGCCATGCGACGAAGACGGAGTGAGCGAGATGGCGCGCAGGTAAGTTAGCTGTCCAGACATATCGTGTAGACGCTTCGATGAATGTTATTACATACTTCTCGTCTTTAGGGCCTGCTTCAGACAAGTTGAGTATGTCGCTGTAGACTTTCTGCATCAGTTGATAACGCGTTGAGCCGGGAAAATGACTTGGAAACAAATCGTGCGTAAGGTTGGCAACTGGACAAGTGGTGCAAACCGTCGGACGAGACTGCGGCTTCATCTCAGTGCCATCAGGTAAAACTAAACTATTTTTATCAAGAACTGCTGCTCGGATTGAATGATTGAGAATCCCTTGTGATGGATGTCCTAGTCGCTGATGCCATATATCTTCCGTGGCTTTGTGTCCTGATGATCGCAGGTAAAATTCGGAGTTAGTATAAAAGGAAGAAAGGATGAAAGGAGAAAGAGCTGGTGACTTGTCAATCTCTCCTTCGACGAAACGGGTAAGAGGTAACGTGACTTGTGTGATTGCTGCTGCAGGTGCGACTATATCCCCTGATACTGCTTCTGTTGATGTCGTGGCAGGTGTTTCGGCGACAGCTACGGTTGGACTCGGCTGCTCAGCTACGGGTTCCTGTTCGGCTTCTTCAACAACGTCAGGTTCATCAGCGGCAAGACCACTGATTTCTCCCCAAAGTGGTGCTGGAGTTCCTTGGAAGGCTGCACGGGTATTATAAAACGTTCGCCACGCGGTGGCGCTTTCATCGGCGGTATTGAACTCCCAGGTATCCAACGCGGTAAGTACTGCGGCTGCTGTTCGAGAAGCTGTTGGTACTGAAGTTGCCCGAAAATCAATATCCACATGTTGATAATCTGTTTCTTCTGGGTGATCCCAGGGACCAAGTGCAAGCACGTGTTCAAAATCTCCATAAGTTCCCTGTGCTGCGAACTGAAGAACTGACACGCCATGTTGAGTGGCGGCACGACCAAGGTAGGTATTAGTTGTACTGTGCCAGAGCTCTTGATCCATCGTCTCACAATTTCCTTGTGTACGGATTTTGTGTGCCAGGAGCTGAGCCGTGGAAAGAAGGTTGAAGCCAAGTCCGGCGACGATAAGAACATTCGTAACATGAAGTGAGTATCCCGTGTGGATAGATTCGAGCATGACACTGCCAACTGATCGTGCCATTATTGGTTGTCCATTTGCGACTGTGACAGGTGTCGGATGACGAAGTGGATGCTGATTTGCGATAAAGCTTGTTTCGGCAGAACACATATGCTATCCGCAGCAGCTGTCGAGATACCAGGTATTTGGTCCTGAAATTATGCGAGCAAGGTTAGCATAAACTTGAGGTAAAGGAATGCCTTCAGCACTTGTTGTTTCTTCAAGTCGTGTTTCGAAATCTGTTTCTGAAACATTAACTGTGGTGACGCAGCCAAAAACCCCTTTTCCTGATGTGGCAGATGCGAAGACCGGCGGACGATGCTGCGACGTAGATGGATTTGGTGGCGGTTTCGGTATCTGCTGCTGCTGAGATGTTAACTGCTGCTGTGGCAGTTGTGTATTCGGTAACTGCTGCGATCGTTGATACGGCTGCAAAGTATTGCGACGGTTTTGATGACGGCTGCGACAGTTTTGGTAAGTATGTCCTGGTTTCTTACAGAAATGGCAGAACAGGTACTTTGGTGGATGTCGATGTTGTGTTTCTAGATTGGAGTAAAAACTTAAATGAACTCCCCTTTTCTGGTTGCGTTGTGACAGCAGGTCAAGATCTTGCTTCTCTGCTTGAAGATAAGAAGAAACAGGATAGGTGAAATCTCCGGTGAAGAACGGCCAAAGCCCAGCGGACTGCGCCAGAAGCTCAAACTCGAAGCTCCAGGAGTAGAAGTCGACACCATTAAAAGGTATGGTCGTCTTGATTTGAGTATTGTTAAGTAAATTTGGAGGCTGAAAAACGACACCTGGCTGTTGCTGTTGTTGCTGTTGCTGTTGCTGTTGTTGTTGTTGTTGTTGTTGTTGCTGTTGCTGTTGCTGTACTTGATGTGGTTGCTGAGACTGCTGTTGTTGTTGCTGAGCAGGGGAACGACCGAAGATATAAAAAGGATGCTGAAACTGCTGCGACTGTGGCTGCTGTACGAAAGGTGAGAAAGCAAACGAACCAGTACTTGGAGCTGTAGCTCCACGCATGTAACTTGAGCCGTCAAGGCTCATTCCACTGAACGCAGATGAAATTGATTGCGTTGAAACTAGTGGCTGTGCTGACGCTTGTTGCTATGTTGTCGTCTGTGATTGTTGCTGTTGCGTTGCAGGTGCAGTCGATGGAGCACCTGGAGTATTCACAGAAGGCGGATTCTGCTGTTGCATACCGATATTAGCGTAGGCTGGTGGA